TAACTATCTTAGGCCTAATTTTACAAGTGGCTATTTTAGTAAATAATTTTTATCAATACATTTCTAAAAACATAAATTGGGCGATTCCACTATTAATTTAATTAGTTGAAGGATCCCATGCAAGATCTTTTGACTGAAGCCCCCGTGAAGCATATGACGTGCACCTGTTAATTCTTTTACGATTTTCTCAGTGAAAATAGGTCATATATTTCAGTGAATTTGAACAAAACGGATTTATTACATGGGCATTATTATTAAAATAATATTTTAGGCACCGAATATCTTAAGAAATAGAAAAAATAATACATTAAATTCTTGAAAGTTTGGGGAAAAAATTACACACCACTATATTTTAACAAAATGTTATAAATGTTTTGTTTCTCTTGACTTTTGCTTTTTTTTTTTAAAATAGACTGTTATCATAATTTATTTTGTTAGATAAGCTCCAGATTTGGTTTCTGTATCTAATTCTGACTAATCCTATTTATTTATGTTGAGCTGTGTGTGTGTGTGTGTGTGTGTGTGTGTGTGTGTGTGTGTGTGTGCGCAAGTGCGCGTGCGCGCAGTTGAAGTCAGAATTATTAGCCCCCTTTGAATTTTTGTTTTCTTTTTTAAATATTTCCCAAATTATGTTTAACAGGGCAATACAATTTTCACAGTATGATAATGATAATGTTTTTTTCTTCTTGAGAGAGTCTTATTTGTTTTATTTTGCCTAGAATATAAGCAGTTTTTAATTTTTTAAACACCATTAGGACAGAATTATTAGCCCCTTTAAGCAATTTGTTTTTCGATTGTCTACAGAACAAACCATCATTGTACAATAACTTGCCTAGTTACCCTAACCTGTCTAGTTAACCTAATTAACCCAGTTAAGCCTTTAAATGTCACTTTAAGCTGTATAGAAGTGTCTTTAAAAATATCTAGTAAAATATGATTTACTGTAATCATGGCAAAGATAAAATAAAATCAGTAGAAATGAGTTATTAAAACTATTATGATTAGAAATATGTTGAAAAAAAAGTCTTCTCTCCCTTAAACAGAAATTGGGGAAAAAAATAAACGAGGGCTAATTCTGACTTCAAGTGTGTGTGTGTGTGTGTGTGTGTGTGTGTGTGTGTGTATATATGTATGTATATATATATATATATATATATGTGTGTGTGTGTGTGTATGTATGAAGATAAGTGCCCAACAGTAAAGATAAATCACTCTCATGCTATTTGTGTATAAATTTGTAGTATTGTTTTTTATTTTTATTTTGCTGTCACACCATAGGATGTATTTAGGGAACAATTCACTAAAAGTAAATAAATATATAAAAAAACATTAAAGAATTGATAAAGATAGTGACCCCTTAAATTCTCTCAAACATCAGAATTACATTTATATTATAATTTTTCCTTAAAAAATCTGTTTTACAAAAATGTTTTGATCTTTGCAAAAAATGTTTATTTAACTCTCCATTTGGCAACTACCCATGTACATTTTTCTGAATTAATGGTTTGTCTTGTTATGAGAATAGCTAAATGAATGGACTTACTCTCTTACTGCTCTGTGTTTCAGTGCTCTGGATGCAGAGAATGAGTTTTTGGTCCAGGAGGCGTTAGAAAGGCTGATGGACGGCCGTACAGTGTTGATCATCGCTCATCGTCTCTCAACCATCCAGAGCGCAGACTCTGTGGCAGTGCTAGACCAGCACCGTGTGATGGAGATCGGCAGCCACTCGCAGCTCTTAGCTAATGACCAAGGACTCTTCCGCAAACTCATGGAGAAACAGGCCTTCCTGCAGGCCGAGCAGAAACAGGCGCTCCTTAAATAAGAGAAAAACAAACATTCAAACACATTATAAGTCTCTTTACTGAGCACTCCGAGAAAAAAAAAGAAACACTGAAATGTAGCTTTTTAGCATGTGCAGTATCAAGTAACTGGAAACCAGTTGTATACTGATCATTGTTATTTACAGTGACATAATATAATACTCATCTGAGTTCCATAAACACTGCTTTTTATTCAGTTGTTTTTATGCTTTCATAGCCTATGGAAAACTAAAAAGGAATATGAGGTAAATTTTATATATGAGACTTATCAAGTTGCTTTATGTAACATGTAATAAATCATGTCAGCCGTTTATTAAGAAACATGTGATTATCAAGTAATTGAAGTGTACAAAGGGCCTTATTCATGAAGAAGTAATCTAAATTATACATAAAACCACTCACTGGGAGTATTTACACATTTGTTCTGCTTATTTTCAGTAAGTAACATGGATAATGACTTCTTTATTTTTATGGTTACAGAAACAGTGCTTCTGTCCTTTCTTATTTACTTTGGTAATGACACTGATGTCAATGTATCGTGCCTAAATCCTAAACCACAAAGCTTTAACTGGGATGTAAATCAAACTTTGACCTGGTTACAGTGCCATTTTCTGTTGTCAATAATGAAGATATTGATTTAAAAGCAGCACCTGTATGGACTATTGTAATAGACGAAAAAGGGTATATATTATTGTCTCAGTTGTATACGAGAACACTATAACAGAGATATTTTAATGTACTTTCATCTACAGCCTGTATATACATATATATATATTTATATATGTGCCACTGAAATAAAAATAAATCTATTCGGAATTTTAGAAGATTTTAATATTTAGTGTGGTAACTTATTAGGTTTAAGTTTGTGAAATGTGTATTATTTGTTTTCTATTGTTTTATCTGCACTCTTCCTAATAAATGACATTGTAACTTTGGACGTGGCATGACCTTCTGTGAGAACATACACATGCCATAAGAGGGGGCTGTTGACCATTGAAAATAAATGGCATATTATTATGGAAACCAAGAGGGGGCAGCATACTGTACAGTAAGTTGGCTAAATGAAAGATTTGAATTGGATCTACTATTACAAAATAGCTGATGTAAGAAACTGATCACTATCAGACTTTACTACAACTCAGTACATAAGTAGTTTCATTAGTATTGTGTCCTTCTCTTAACCTCAAAATCCAAATCACCAGGCCTGCTTAAATTCAAGCAAGGAGATTGTGGTTTGCAGGAGCTGTTGTAAGCTCCTTAAGTGACTGTGGCTACTGCCTTCAAGACTCATTCAGCTGCTCAACATAAGCTCCAGGACCAACTATGGCAGCATATCTGCTTGCACAGAGACACAGGGGCCTCTTTAGAGTAAAGAATGCAGAGCGGTCACACACCACCCAGCAACAAATAATAAAATATTACCACCCAATATTCTATCCAATATTGGCTCTTTCAGATATAAAATATTGATACTGTATCAGTTAAAAGCATGTGAACAAGAGACTTTAAATATATAGAAAGCATAATAAACTAGTGTCTACCTTAATGCTTGGAAAAAATGTTTAGAAAGTAAAATGTCAACACATTAGAGAAATAATAGTTCCATCCATATGTATTCATATTCAATTTCATTTGAAAGGGTGCAAACATCTTAGCAAAATCCAATAGTCTGATGCTTATAGCCCATGTTGTTACAACCCTTATTATCAGCTATCATGTGATATAAAAATAAGTCAGATGAAATTACAAAGATTACAACATACCCATAGTATAAATCCACAATAAAACCATTCATGCATAAACAGGGGAGCCACTTGCGTGTCTTTTATGGCAGGCAGAAGGTGGAAGTCAAGTCCCTTGCCTTGATAAGGTGATCCAGGGGCCCTTCAGTGTGTTATCATCATCTGGGTTGCATTCCACGCATAAATACCTATTATGGTTTTCAGGGATAATCGCAGTGATAACAGGAATTAAAACAAAATGTAAAAACCTAGTGGTTAATTTGGTTAATGATTTATGAATAACTTTCAAGACTCAGTTTATGAGTCAAGCGAATTTATTCATTTATTTTATTAAAATAATTTTAAAGAGATTAAAATTGTATTTTCATTAAACAGATGCAATTATGAGGTGAAAATTGTTTAAATTGTAACTAAATGCTAAACTAGTAAAAAATGTACAATTAGTAAAGAAATATAAGAACAATTAGTCATGACAGAACATGTTTGTTTTAGTTTATTGTAACTTATTAAACTAAGTTAATCATGTTCTAGAACATAGCGTTCTAGAACATAGAAGAACATAGCAGCAAATGTGAAGAACATGTGAAGAACATAGCAGCAAATATTTAAACTTACAATAAATTAAGGCTGCACAGTGATCCTTATTCTTTGAACGTGTCATCAAATATTTTAAATATGTATTTAATATATAGATAGAGACAGAAAAAGAGAAATAAAAATAAAATATCATGAACACCATCCAGTAAATCTGCCTGGAAAACTGGCAGTAAATGAGCAGTGAACAGATGGTAGCCTACAAAATTTCTCTTGTGTCTAAAATAGAAAACGCACGTCTTAAAATTCGGACTACCCACACAATTCACCTACATGACTTTCTTTACGATGTGTATTTATTTGTGAAGGCTTTTTACAGCATTATTCATACAGTGTTAGGAGATATAAATAAATTATTGTACATACATTAACGTCTTACAAAATAACTACATTAAAATTTTTTTCTAAATTTTCATCACTGAAATTATCATTTCAATCTCGTTGGTGAAAATTTCATTCAGAATCTACTTCAACAACACTGTTATATCAAACTGTTTGTGAACAAAGCGTACTCTCTTACAGATATAATACACTAATACGGTGGAGCACCATGTGGAGAAGGCTGGTGTTGGTATCAGCACCGCCCAGCTCCTTATACAGGCCACACTTGGGCCTGCAGTGATGACTGTCAAACCGTAAATGGACAGTCCTGCTCACTATGACCCTGCCGGACAGGGGGAGACACGCCGCTTCTCTAGGAAATCACCCCTCACTTACCCTGCCAGTGCCTAATATGGTTGAAGAATGAGGAAAAACTCCAACCGAACATACAGATATCCTCAATAGTACACATGGCGACAAACGCGGTGAGTATATAAAGTGCCGGTGCCTGAGGCAGTTTGTGACTGAATCCACCAGCGGTTGTTCTGCACTGAGCTTCAGCAGAGAAAGGTAAGAGGACGTGGTTAAACCCATGCAATACTGGTATATGGTAGTTAAGTTGACTTTATTTGATTCAAGGCTAGTTAGATTTGTTTATTTAGTGACAGTAGGCTAACAGGATTTCATGGTAATCTGGAATAAATGATAGTCTTCATTAATTCATTATTTAAAAGCATGTATAATAGTTTTTTAAGTTGTCGTTGTCTGTGTTGTTAATTTAATTAATAATCATATTTTAGGATAACAGATTTGTCAGCTAAGGCTTCTTTCTCATTATATTCATTCAGTCATCCTTAATTTACTCATAAATTGTAAAGTAAACTCTAAAGAATGCTTACAAAATTACTATTATTTACTACACTGTAAGAAATGTTATTTGCCTTAAAATTTTAAGCTAAATCAAATTAACATTATAAGTCAATTGAACATATATTGAGTTAAACTGACTTAAAACTACTTGCATAACTTATAAAAATAAGTTAGAACATGATTAACTTTGTTTAATAAGTTACAATAAACTAAAAAAACGTGCTGTCATGACTAATTGTTCTTATATTTCTTTACTAATTGTAAATTTTTTACTAGTTTAGCATTTAGTTACCTCATAATTGCATCTGTTTAATGAAAATACAATTTTAATCTCTTTAAAATTATTTTAATAAAATTAATGAATAAATTTGTTTGACTCATAAACTGAGTCTTGAAAGTTATTCATAAATCATACAACCAAAAATACAGAAGTACAAAATAGTATAACAAGTAAGGTGGATTAAAGCAAAGGTTAAATTCAAATGTTAAAACAAGTATAAACTGATAAATGTGTGTTGCTGTAAAATATTTGTTTTATTTCAGATATGCAGTCATTCACCTTTCATTAGTAATGAATGATAATCATTTAGAAACTTTAACTTAAAATGAGTCATGAAACCGACACAAGTACAACAGATAGAAAATATTTTGGCAAGGTAAATAGATGGAAACAAAGATGAAATTGAAAAGTGAACTGCAGAATCACTTTTCAGTCTTAATTCAATATCTTTGCATTAAACTGCACCTAATCCAATCCTTCTCAATATTAATTTGTTAAACCAGAAAAACAGCTCTATAAGGCCATTTCATATTCATTTATTATTTAATCAAAAATATTTAATTAAAATCAATTAATAAATTTTACATATGATTTTTAAAAACGTGCTCTAATTCCAACTATGAGTAATTGAAACACAAAGACACATATTTGCCAATCAAAGCAAAAAAAAAAATGTTAAAAAATTATCTGAGCGTGTACTGAGACAGCATCTTGCCTTTCAGAATACATCAAGATGTGTGACGACGACGAGACTACCGCCCTTGTGTGCGACAACGGTTCCGGCCTGGTGAAGGCTGGCTTTGCTGGTGATGACGCCCCCAGAGCCGTCTTCCCCTCCATCGTTGGTCGCCCCCGTCACCAGGTATGTTCTGCTGCATTTTCCTCTTTAACACAGTAAGCTTAATCTAAATATCATGACAATTAAAAATCTAAATTTTCTTCTTGCAGGGTGTCATGGTGGGTATGGGTCAGAAGGACTCATACGTAGGAGATGAAGCTCAGAGCAAGAGGGGTATCCTCACTCTGAAATATCCCATCGAGCACGGCATCATTACCAACTGGGACGACATGGAGAAGATCTGGCACCACACCTTCTACAATGAGCTCCGTGTTGCCCCTGAAGAGCACCCAACTCTGCTGACTGAGGCCCCTCTGAACCCCAAGGCTAACCGTGAGAAGATGACCCAGATCATGTTTGAGACCTTCAACGTCCCAGCCATGTATGTGGCCATTCAGGCTGTGCTGTCCCTCTACGCTTCTGGCCGTACCACTGGTGAGAGGAACTTTAACACCTAAAAGATCAAATGCTGCTAATATATACGAGTAAGACCCAATATGTTTTACTGGATTCTGACCATTTTTTATTCTGTATTTAAGGTATCGTGCTGGACTCTGGTGATGGTGTGTCCCACAATGTCCCCATCTATGAGGGTTATGCTCTGCCACACGCCATCATGCGTTTGGATCTGGCTGGTCGTGATCTTACCGACTACCTCATGAAGATCTTGACTGAGCGCGGTTATTCTTTCGTCACAACCGGTAGGAATTTCAGTCATTTCTGTGTTATATTAACAGTGATGTTGTTTTATTTCATCAAATGAAATTTGGGTGCATATACACCACCTTTCAAAGGTTTTTAATGCAAGAAAAACACATTTATTTTTTAGTATGGATCAATTCAATTGAACAAACCATTGAAACAAAACATTTAATTTTAATTCAATCAAATTCTTTTTCAACTTTCTCTTTAAAGAATTCTGAAAATAACATGATTATTTTAAATTGTAATAATATTTTTATTGTAGCACTCTTATTTTACTGTATATTTCAATAAAAAACCTACCTAAAGTTATAGTAGACTTTTAAAGTACAGTGCATTAGAGTATTTTGGCCAATATTTTCATGTTTTACAGTACATAACCTTTGATGTCATCTAACACTGAGTTAAAGTTGATCCTAAATTATTTTAAAGTTGTTTTTTTTATAGTTTTTGCTCTGTTAAATGTAATTTTTAGCAAAACTCAAAATGAAAATAGATTTTTTTATACATTTCACAATACTTGCTTGATGCCTAAATAATTATAACAATCAAAATGACAAATTTTAGTCAATTATTATTATTATTATTATTTAAAATCTAATAATGCAAATAATTATCAGGCCATGTATCAGCTATCATTAATAATATAGTATTAGTAATTAACAAAATTTTTGATCTATCTGTCTGTCTATCTATCTATCTAAACATTAAAATTATCACCATCCTATCATAACTCTGGTCTGTACACTATTTGTGATTTGTGTTATGTTGGCAACTGGCTCACCTACACCTCTGTTTTCCAGCTGAGCGTGAGATTGTGCGTGACATCAAGGAGAAGCTGTGCTATGTGGCTCTGGACTTTGAGAATGAGATGGCCACCGCTGCCTCTTCCTCCTCCCTGGAGAAGAGCTACGAGCTGCCCGACGGCCAAGTCATCACCATTGGAAATGAGCGTTTCCGCTGCCCAGAGACCCTCTTCCAGCCTTCCTTCATTGGTGTGTAAAGAAAAACCTTACTCGAACATCTGTTTGTTTTTTCGTAAGAACTATACCATTTCATTAACACAGTGTTGTGAACAGGTATGGAGTCTGCTGGCATCCATGAAACCGCCTACAACAGCATCATGAAGTGCGACATTGACATCAGGAAGGATCTGTATGCCAACAATGTCTTGTCTGGTGGTACCACCATGTACCCAGGTATTGCTGACCGTATGCAGAAGGAGATCACCGCTCTGGCCCCCAGCACAATGAAGATCAAGGTAATGTATTTATGCTTGTCCTTTTAACACTAGAACTGCCAAGCCAGACCTTTTACAGGTTTCACATTGAAATAAAACACACATAACTTTCTTACATGTGTGTATATTTTATTCTAGCATTGTTATTTTATTAAAATTACAAAAACACACAAAAGTATCTCTACATCAAATTGATACACCTTATATATTTTGTAAGCATTCATAACTGAACTGTTTTACTGTTCATTGAAACATTCTTTTTATTTTCTAAAAAAAAAAAACAGAATATTAGTCTACTTCAAATTAGTATCTGTAATTAGCAGATTATTGTGTTTGTTATCTAATACATGCTCTGATGCATTAGAGTACAAGTTTAGTGTCCTAATATTTGTTAATATTGCTCCAAACCGAACAGATCAGTTTAATCATGAATTTTTATTTCAGTTGTGGCTGCATAGTATTGTTTATAATACAGGGTTTTTTGTTTTTTGTTTATAATACAGGTTTTTTTTTTTTGAAGACTTTTTAAAGACCCTTTTAAGACCATTATGAATGAAATTTTACACGTGTATGAAGCTAAACACTTGGCCAAGGGAATTTGTATTTTGCTTGCCAAAAAATAAATAAAAATCTAAATGTAGTTATTTCAAAGTCACATATTTTAATGTCAATATTTTTTCAACGTTTTTTAACCGAATACATTTCTGTTGTGAAATCTTAAGTAGTTTTTGTATAATTGGAAGGTCATATAAAGGCATATATTGGCATTGTTGTCATAAGGATTTATTTAAATGTTTATAGTTTTCTTTTCCTGATTAGGGAATTAAATTTAGAGGTTTTTCTGTAAAAATGTCTAAAAGCTGTTGTGATTTTATCTCTTTGCAATAAAAAATAAGTTTTATTTAGATGAATTGTTGATAATTGGTTGTGTGTTGACCCAACTGGGTAGCTTTAGTTAGACAAAAAAAATTAAGACTTTTTAAAATGATTTAAGACCTACAACATAACATTTTTGTAAATGTATTATTTTTTTATTATTTATTATTGTTTTAAGGGCCTAAAATTTAGTTTTTGAAATTTAAGACATTTTAAGACCCCATTTTAAGTGTTTTATAGAATTTTACATGTTTTATAAGATTTACATATTATAAAATGGGTATGATTATTATAAATATTACTATATTTACAAATAAATTCACAACAAGTTTTTATCTATTGAAGTATTCAGCTTTAATACATATTTCTTGGCATTTAGGCTTTCAAACACAACATTTTTACAACATTTAAAAAAAAACTTTTCCTTTCTCTTAACAGTTGGACAATAAACGATTACACAATTAAATATTGCAAATGAAATAGTCAAATATAAAGAAGGTAGAAGCTTCAAATTTAAAAATTACCAGAAAATGGCATTTGGCACAGTCTTATTATAGAATTCTTGTAGTTCTAATGTAAACACGTTTACGTTCCTCATTGATATAACAACTAACCTGCTCATACTTCTCTTTTTTTCCCTCCCAGATCATCGCCCCACCTGAGCGTAAATACTCCGTATGGATCGGTGGCTCCATCTTGGCTTCCCTGTCCACCTTCCAGCAGATGTGGATCACCAAGCAGGAATACGATGAGGCAGGTCCCAGCATTGTCCACCGCAAGTGCTTCTAAATTCATCGGCTGCATCTGTCTTCTGTGGATCACACAATAATGGAGAATACATTCAAAATTATGGGACAGCTTTGGGACAGATTTCTACATGTTATTCGAAGAACATACCCTTGAGTAACAAGCAGGAACAGGACGAGGCAGGACCAGCACTGTCCAAGAAATCAATCACACAATCAACATCCAGAAGACCATTAAACCATGATATCCATCATGAGACTGTAATCTGTACATAAATAGTCATTAATTTATTAAAGTCCATCATTTAGATTTTTGTGACGCATATGTGTTAATAAATTGTTCAGATTGAAAAAAATTGTTTCGCAATGAGTGTTGCTGGAAAAGAAACTGTTGCTTTCTAACTCGAAAAAAGTATCTCTTTTTTTTTTTTTTTTTACTAATTATTATTTAAAACCAAATAGCTAAAGTTAAATACAAAGCAAAGTTTGTATTTAACTTTAAGACATGTTGTGGTCAGATACATTTTTAAAACATTAAAAACAATTGAGTTTATCCAAGGAAAAAAATTACTTAAAATTAAATCATATTTATCATGATTTTCGTAAGACATACACTACAATGTCATTCAGTGTAACAGTAATCCATGCACTAAAACTGACATTTAGAAGAAGAAATTTATTAAATGAGTCATTTCAAGGATCACAGTGCAACCAAAAAACACTAATTAATTGTCATTTCAAATCTGTCTTCAAAACTGCTAGGTATTACCTCAAGTTAATCATTTAAAATAGAATCAAATTCTGTATAATCGCCTAATCTTTTATATATTATATTAGGTACAGGTCATAAGTGCATTGTTTCTTTTATACATACATATAACTGATATGCTAAACATGGAGGGTTATTTCACATATATTTAGGCATTTTATTTTCACAAAAATTATTTGAAATATTAAATTAGATACTAGTGTTTAATGTGCTTTTCAGGGTATCTGGGGGTAAAAAAAAACCTACTAATTTCATGGCCTAATTTTAATATTGTGTTGTTGGTCTTAATTTTATTGTCCATATAAAGCTAAGTCCAATTGGGCCAACACCCATCCAATCACTAGCAATATATTTTAATAAAAGTAAAAAAAAACAACAACATTTATTTATTAACTGTATTTACTTATTAATATGGTTTAATTATCTTCCTTACAATAACATTTGTTTATAATGTTTTTTGTTAAGGTCATTAAAAAATCTTAAGCATTTAGTCATGTGTAAGTCTGAAATTTGATTCATTCAGTCTTAAAATGGTCTTAAAAAGTCTTAAATTTGACTTGATAAAACCTGTAGAAACTGATGTAAAGTCACTTTTGTTTTATTTGATGCAGACATAAAATTCTGACTTCTTTTCTTTGATCCATGATCATTTAACTCGAGTTTCTAAAATAGCTTTCAAGTAATTCTAAAAATACTGAAAGTTGACCTCCATCTGACCTCACTGCAATGTGCAGCATTTGCCTCCTGGTTAAGTCATAACCTAACCAGAGTGAATAATCAAACAATTCTAAATTAATTTCTTTCAAATAATTATTATAATTTGTTTTTTTCTAATAAAGGCACACTATTTCTTTCAGATATTTATTTTGAATTTAAAGGCCACAAATCATTAATCTAAACATGCATGGTTCAAATTCTTTGAGGTCAGACTCAAATGTGATTCTTTGAAGTGGCTTTAAAGCAATTCTTTGTTCCAGTTTTGAGCAAACAGGTTTTGGTCTGGTTTTGTCAAGAGAGTTAATGTTGCTGTTAACATGTTGCAACACTGCAGAAACACCATTTTAGGTTGACATTTTTAACAAAGCATGTTTCATTTTTATAATTATATAGTAAATAATATTATTATACAATCATAGTAAAATTAACATATAATTATAATTAAAAGTCTAATGTTTTAAATAACTTTGTGTACATAAAATATCAAAATATGGGTAAAGAAATATCAGCGTAACCCATGCAAATATATGGATGTGTGTGTCCTAGTGGTTTGAAGGATAGTGGCAAAGTAAAAAGATTGAATTCAATATTATATCGGGGCTGAACTGTGATCCTTAAATAGAATATTTTAATATGCCATCAAATTCCTCTTCTAAATATGCCTGAAAAAAATATTTGATGTATATAAACAATAGTTTCAGTAAATTCCATTTTAATAAGTACCTTCTGAGACGACACGGTGGCTCAGTGGTTAGCACTCAGTGGTAGCTGGTTTGAACGTTCTCCCCGTGTTCTCATAGGTATCCTTTGGGTGCTTCGGTTTCCACCACATTTCAAAGACATGCAATACATATATATATATATATACATATATATATATATATATATATATATATATATATATATATATATGTGTGTGTGTGTGTGTGTGTGTGTGTGTGTGTGTGTGTGTGTGTGTGTGTGTGAATGGAATAAAACTAACTTGGCTGAATGAGTGTGTATGGATGTTTTCCAGCACTGACTTAAGGCTGAAAGGGCATTGGCTGTGTAAAACGTATGCTGGATAAGTCGGCGGTTCATTCAGCTGTGGCGACCACTGATGAATAAAGGGACTAAGCCAAAGGAAAATAAATAAATGAAATGCCTTCTGTAAATTATAGTAAAAATGAATGTTTATGCTCAGCAAAAAATGGACACATTCGATTGTAAGCAAATATATCTAAAATGTGAACAAGCTATGCTAATTTTATCCTTATGTCCCTTTTCATCTGTGAGATGTGAGTGTGTGTGTACCTTTTGTAAAAAAAAATGTCGCTATGGTTACTTTCCCATATCTGTTGAAAAAATACAAAATGTATTTCACATTTATAAGCACACAAAAACATTACTTTTTTTAGTCCAACCTTTTCTTTGACCCCCAAGGGAGTTTTCACCCTGTAAAACAACACCTGTTGATGCCTTCGAGTGATTTCCAACGTCTTCACCACAGGGCGGAGCTACAACCGTGTTTTTACAACGCAAGCCTGACGTCTGCAGACACCAAGCGCCATCTGTTTACCTTCTCGTCCTTGCCTTAATCAAAACGGTAAGTCCATTTATGATCGAAAATACGTGTTGACAGATGTTTATGACGCCCATCTTCATTCACTTTGCCTCTGGCGACTGCTGTCACGTGAACATTCGCTTTAAACACTACTCGACGACGAAGCAGCAGCGATATTAATGTAACCACAAGACCGCACGACTTTTGTTTGCATTTAGATAACGAGTACTTTGTGTCAAAACGCTGATGTTTAACATTCGCTTCTTGTAGTGTGCACAGAAAAGCTCTTTCGGTTTATCTGTACAGTCGTTCTGTTGATGGCAATGCATTATTATGACATCTATATCAATCTCTCTAAATTCGTGCGTTTTGTTTTTAGTGAAATTTATAAGTGCGGTCATGTTTTTCCTCACCTTCTAAACCCTAATATGCAAATGCGTTAAGCGGTTCAGAGACCCCTGAGGTGACGCCATGGTTTAAGTAGGCGTATCCGAGAAGGAGGCGTGCAGACTCACAGCTGGCCAGCGATTGGCTTTCGTTTGCATATTACAATTCTGTTGCCATAGCAATTTGGTTTAAATGTCTGGCGCGAGAGATGGGGCGGATCCGGAATAGACTTGCATAATTAGCTTGTTACTTCTCTACAATGTAACAAGTCTGTTTTTTTCTTTGCAGTCGGACGACAAGTCAATATGGTGACCAAGCGAATTAGGTCGGAATACATGAAGAAATTTAAAGACCCGAAATGGGATACTTACGCAAAGTGTTATGAGGATTTGCTGAAGTACAGACTGTCAAGGCGGCTGCTGGAGCAGGCGCACAAGCCGTGGTTTTGGGGTGAATGGGGGAGCGAGACTGCTTCAAGTGGTAAATCTACTCCTCTGAGTCGGAATAAAGTTGAACCTTTGAAGACTCTTGATGAGAAACCTGAGCGATCTGCTTGTGTGACTCCAGAACCAGCAGCTGAAGCAGAAACACAGGCCGCAGAAGTGCAGGACAGAGAGCATGCAGACACCAGTGAGTGCTGCTGACACACACACACACACATACTCTCTCTCTCTCTCTCTCTCTCTCTCTCTCTCTCTCTGTCAGCTTTTATTTTGTGTTATACACTGACTATTACAGTGTTGTTATTGATATCTTAAATGTGGTTTGTTTTATAGTTCTAAAATAAAGTATATTGTGTATGCATAAGGGTCTGTTAATATTTATCTGTAGGTACCTCTTAATAATTAATTTTATTTTTATGTTATATACAAACAAATATTTATATTTTGTTATAACACAAAATTTTGTGTTAGGAAAACTAGATTTAAATGGTTTTATTAAACATTAATTATAATAATAGGAAGTTACAGCTACAATGCCATTCAATATTTGCATTGGTTTTATTGCTAAATTGAAATAAAGCTGTAAAGTGTATAAATATGGAAAACTTGCTTTAATAGATAAGTGAAATAAAATACAAAAAGTAAAACGTGTACAATGTAAACTCTAATAAGTTGAGACTACTCAAATGATTTGGGGAAGTTTGTTTGAGTAATGGGAAATCCACAACTCAAGTAATTGAGTTGACCAAATGTGGTCTCTTCATTGAATTAGCCTAAATGTTAAGTACAGATAACTTAAAATGGCTAATAGACCAAACTTCCACATTTTCAGCTTTTATATTCTTTACTTACTCCCAAGGCCATTTATATCGAAGTTGATATCTAGCTGCACCATGTTGGTGTTTTGTAACATCTAATTTTGGGATGTTAGCCCAATGCTCAACCTGGAGGACCAGAACATACACATATAAACTACAGACAATTTAGCTTACCCAATTCACCTATAGCGCATGTCTTTAGACTTGTGGGGGAAACCGGAGCACCTTGAAGAAAACCCACATGAACCGGGGGGCGACCATGCACACTCCACACAGAAATGCCAACTGACCCAGTGACTTTCTTGCTGTGAGGCAACAGCGCTACTACCCACTGCGCCACCGTTTCGCATGTATATAAGCATTTAAATATCTACGTATTAATTTTACTTTACTCTTTTGTCAGATGGGTTCAGGTAGTGCCTCTGTCCTGCTGCACTTCAGCAAAATTCAGCATCACAAGCAAAATGACCACCTTGTGTCAAATAACATATATCGACCAATCAGTGCAGTTGCCAAGGCAGAATCAATCATTTTAAACAGAGACATGGAGAATTGTTTAAAGAATTTAAAATATTAATTAAAAGTTGTTTGCTGCCTAATGACTAACGCATCTGTTTAAGTTTTCACGCCAAAACATGGTATTTTAAGTGATGTCAGGTTATATTAATTTAATATATTTAGTAATGACAACAGTGTTTTCATTAGGGTTTGCAATGTAATAAGAAACAATATAGTTAATATTATGTTATATATATATATATATATATATATATATATATATATATATATATATATATATATATATATATATATATATATATATATATATATATATACAGTATGGTGCCGTTGTAACATTATTCAAGTATAATATAAGTATTTTTTTCTGAATATTCTAATATTTCTAATATGTATTACACTGAAATACTTTAATTAATAATAATGAGATTAATAAGAGATTTCTAAAACAGTTTTATTTGTATTTTGTATATAATACTTGTGTATTTGCGGTTGTAATAAAAAAATATTTTTATTATTAATATTTTACAGCTATTATGCAATAGGTACTTGGAAAATGTATGAAATACAGGGACAAATATTTAGTTTATATTCAACCCACTGATGCTAAAATGTATAATAGAGTGCCTTTTTCGTAATAAGCTAATTACATCTGGACAATTGATCATAATTTAAAAAGGCATTCTCAAAATATTATAGCAAGACATAAAGGCACTAAAGTCTGCGCAACTTAACTAAAATGACTCAAAATCCTTTTAAACCAGAGTAATTCCACACCGATCTCTGTCTTCCATCAACAGATTTAGTTCCCTGTGATGCTGAGGTGGCTCATCCAGAAGGAGAGGAAGTAAGAGGCAAAGAACGCTCTCCTGCTGTCAACCCAGACTCTGACACACAGATCCAGAACATGTCAAAGAGCAAACGCCGCTCTTCACACAAGTACACAAGATCAAAGGTCAAACCTCAGGCCCCTAAAGACCCCGACAAAGAGAACCGTCACCCGTTTGCCCTGTATGGAGCAGGAGAGAAGCAGACTGACATGGCTTCAAAGAAAACACATAATGTGGGTCCTGCAGCTTCAACCGCAGAGGTGAGTCGGGGTGATTTCCAAAGGCATAGTGTATAATGAGAGTTTCTTGAACTGTCTGGAAAATGACTACTAGAATAAAGAAAATAAATAGTTCTTTTAGATCAGTGTTTCTCAATCCCAGTCCTTGCGGTCAACTACGCTACACGTTTCGTATGTTTATCTTTTCCTGTCAGACATTTGTTACAATTCAAGTGCAAAGTCCTCAGGATAGGCTGAAGTGATTTCAGTTTGAATCAGAATTGGAAAGAGCTTTATTGCCAGGTATATTCACACATACGAGGAATTTGTTTTCATGACAGAGCTTCAGTGCAACAGAATTACAGAGACAGGACAAAAAAAAACATAATAAATATATTTTAAAAACAGAATTTAGTAGTGAATGCAAATATACAAATTGAAAAGTGTATGTACAGGTATATTACTATACACAGCGTTGTATGTACAGCTGTTATGTGCAAATTGGCATGTAAAGTATGTTGTTTAATAAGTGTATGTGTATAAAAGTGTTTAGCAAGTAGTGATGTTTGTTCCACAATTATTATCATCAAGTGTTCATGAGATGGATTGCCTGAGGGAAGAAACTGTTTCTGTGTCGGGCTGTTCTGGTGCGCAGTGCTCTGTAGCGTCGACCAGAAGGTAAAAGTTCAGAGGCAGTGTGCTGGGTGTGAGGGGTCCAGAGTGATTTTGGCAGCCCTTCTGCTCGCTCTGGATAAGTAAAGTTCTTGGAGAGTAAGGAGGGTTGCACCAATGATTCTCTCAGCAGTCCGAACTATTCAATGAAGTCTTCGGAGGTTGGATTTGGTAGCTGAGCTAAACCTAAACCAAACAGTTATTGACGTGCAGAGGACTGATTCAATGATATTAGTCTAGAACTGGTTCAGCAGCTCCTTTGGAAGGTTGAACTTCCTCAGCTGACGAAGAAAGTACAGCCTCTGTTGAGCTTTTTTGACAATGGAGTCAATGTGACAGTTCCACTTTAGGTCCTGAGAGATGGTGGTACCCAGGAACCTGAATGAGTCCACTACTGTCACAATGCTGTCCATGATGCTCAGTGAGGGGAGAGCAGGGGGGTTTCTCCTGAAGTCCTCTATCATCTCCACTGTTTTGAGCGTGTGAAGGAAACACTTATGGTTCATTCAAATGACATTTTAGTGGGTTATATGCAAGTTTAATATGCAGTGGTGCCAAACTCTCAGGGTTTTAGTTACAATCCTGCTTCAACATATTTACCTGTAGGTTTCAAACAACCCTGAAGGACTCCGTTATTTTGATCAGGTGTGCTTCATAAGGGTTAAAGCTAAACTATGCAGAACTGAGCTTGACACTCAATGGATTTATTTACAGAGGTGTATTATTTCACACTTCTCTAGTAAGACACTGCAGGCAATACTGTTGTGTAAATCCTTGAACGAATGTTTCAAAGAGACATAAAGATTTCTCATGCTTTAGTAAAGCACAATGAAGGAGAAGGGACTTGAGAAAGAATGCACCCGGTGTAGGGAACATGTCAGTCAGAGCACAGTTCACACTCAGACCTCTTATATTAAGCCTGTTATTCAAATCACCTGGGTTAAATAAGAGACATGCATAATATGCAGATCGGTGGGATGCGAGGACCAGGATTGAGAAATGCTGTTTTTTTTTTTTTATTTAGATCAATGAATCGGATTGTTCTGATCATTGAAACATTACTTGGTGTAATTTTGCAAGCTAAATTGAGCTGATTAATATTTACTTAGAAAAGGAAAGGATTTTGATGGCTTATATGCTTAACATCCAACCATTTTGCAGTTAGTGAAAGATGAAAGGAGCTCAAAAATAAAAACCCCGTTCCCTACTCAATATTTTCTTTCAGTTTGTAATGCGTCATTATACAGAAATGAAAGCCTGCAACTTATAAGTCTAACAGACTTTAAGTGTTCCTTTTTTTAATCATTTTCATCTTTCTGTCTAGATCCATGAGTCAGCGCTGCGAGCAAAAACCAGACGGGAGGTGGAAAAACAGATAAAGAGATTTGACAAGCAGAGAGCCAGATCTGCTGACTTGGAAAAGAGCAGAAATAAAATCATCCCCGATTTCAATCCCTGGATGACAGAGTACATGCGCTGCTTTTCTGCTCGCTCTCGGTAGTACCAATTCAGATATCGATTTTTTTCCAAACATCCGAGACCATCTAAACCTCTCAGGCTCCACATGACGACTGGCACATCGGTCCAGGTCACTCGCCGTCTTCCACGATGGAACTCGCAATGATTTAAACTCAGATTATAAGTCAAGGTTTTCAGGCGTTTATTTACATCAATGGATATGATGCATTTACTGGTACATATCAAACATGAAAACACAGTCCATTGATGCTGCAGGACAAACAATCACATGCCCTGATGCGTGAAAGTTGCGTAGATTTACAGGCCACGAGGTTTACCAGTGTCTCTTTACACTCTGAGCCAAACAGCAAATTAAAAAGTGTTCAATAATTGTCAGACGATTATCGAAACTCTATGTTGGTGTATTGTAATGTTGTATATTATTGATACTTTGTGTTTATATCAATTCGTATTTAGGATTAATGTAAAGAAATCTGTTTTGCACTTCACTGAAATCAATTGAGCCAACATTTGTGTTGTTAAATAAGCAACACTTTGCTTCATCCATTATATTAATATCTGCTTTTTTTGATATGAGCTTTTCCTTGTACATTTACACCAATGGTGCGTTCCACCTTGTATTATATCAGAATATTATGTAATGTTCAGTATCATTATGTAATGTAAAAAGTCACCGGTATCTGAAGCATGAAACACGCAGCAAAATGACAAATCATGTTTGAATGAGAACATACACTGGAAAAGCAATTCCAGCTGTTTATCAAGCATATTTGTTTCCATTTATTGATGTTATTTAGGTTTTTTAGTAGCACTCAGGTATTTCTTGATGTATTTTGTGTAGTTTAATAATAGGAATGATGAGACTGGGATATTTGTACACTATTTATGTAGGGTTATTGAACAAATTTGGACTTATTTCCACTCACATGATATCTTTAAAGTCAGTTTTGGCTTGTGTTACGTACTACAGTGTTTCCCAACCACGTTTCCTGGAGGGCCGCCAACACTGCATGTTTTGTATGTCTCCTATGTCCGTCACAATACAGGTCTTTCAGTATTTACTAATGAGCTGATGATCTGAATCAGGTGTGTTTGGTTTTAGGAGAATTAGAAAATGTGCTGAGGTGGTGGTCGAGGAATGCGGTTGAGAAACACTGACATATAGTATTGACTTTGGTGTACTATTTAAGCCATAATGCTTCATTAAGAGGATGAACATATATTCTGATATGTGATTTGAATTTGAGGGTATTAAAGTTACTAAAACTGATATTTGTTTACATGAGATGGAATAAGTTTTGAAGCGCTTATATTATGAGGATCAAGATAATGGTAGTAAATGTGCCATTATGTTAAGTTTTAACACAATGCTGTTCCGAAGAAGTTACTGATATGTTAAAAAAAATGACAAATGTGTTGGGTTATAATGCGTATTATTGATGTAAAAGTAGTTTTCATGTTCGTTTGTAGTTAAGGACAGCTTGTATACAGACCACCCATTTAAAAAAGACACTCTTTTCTGCCTAATGCACTAAACGTCAGATTTATACATCACAAATTCATTATAACATGCTGTTTTGGATACTGCCTACCTGCCAAAAATAAAAAACTGTTTAAATGTATGCAGATATCTTCTTTGTTCACTTAAACTGATTTTTTTTTTTTTTGAGGTAAACTTGACTGTCCAGCAAAGTAAGATTGTACGTTTGACACAAATTACATTCATTTTGCAAACACAGATTTTACATTCAGACTCTAAATTGTACTTTTGATCAGGTAAAATTTGTATTCAGATCTTAATTGTTCAGAGCAATACTACACAGTAGGCCAGTTTGCCTTCTTTCTTTTTTTACTTTTTAAAGCTTATGCAAAACAAAAGATACATCAATATAAGCATGTAGTTCACCTAAAAATGAGTTAGCTATTGATTCACACTACTGCAAGCAATCCAAGATGTGGGTGATGAAAAATTCCTCAATTACAGTATTTGAGTCGTTGTAATTAGTTACTTTACGCCACTGTTTTCAGTTATTGTCCATTTTTTTCTTGAGTAAAACTTTAAAGAAGACTATGCTGAAACTGTGGTTCTCTGAATCATCATCAACATCTACTGGCAATCTTTTTAGAGTCAAAAAATGACAAAATGAGTACATGTGGTACTGTGATGATACATTGATGATTTATAAAAAGAGACAATCAGTCTGTGCTACAATGATTATTGTTCAGTTTCTTACAGACTTTTCATTTCATAAGATCTGAATGTATCATCAAGTGTATTGTTGGTTTAGCTTGAATAGGGGTTTTCGACTGTCGATGTATATTTTAATTGTTGACTTTATTTTTAATTTTTTGTATTTTATGAATCATCAAGAATGAATCACCCCAGATTCAGATAAAAAAAAAATCTCTCATGTTTGACAGAAGAAAAAAATTCTACTTAATTTAAGATGAGCTCAGAGAAAGTAAATAAATGCAATTTTAGATGTACAGTGCTCAGCATATATAAGTACACACCTCACAAACCTCTCTTTTAAATTCATATATTTAATAGGAAGCTATATAATATTATATTTGTGCATATACATTAGAAAAGTCAGTACTGAAGACAAATCTGGAGAAAATAACTAATTATAATGGTCCAAAAACTAGTACACCGAAATTTATGTTATAGAAAAATATTAAATCCAAATTTAAAAAGAGGAAAAATCAAGAGAAGCAAAAAATAAATAAATAAAAAATTCAGAAAAATTTTGTAGGTTGTAATTTTTTTAGGTTTGCAATAATTAGGTTGAATTAAATTGTATTATCTTTCAATTTTTTAATATGTTTGGTGATTAAAATTGCGGGTGGGTAATTTGGCCTAAAATCATAATCTCGAATAATTGAACAATTTAACTCAATTACGATTATTATACGATTATTTAATTTATTTATTTAATTTTTTCCGCTTATAGTTTACTGACAAGTTTTATATGCCGTCTTAAGGCATCTCTGGCGCATCATCCTACATGACCAGAGATCAAATGTGGCTGCAAAGTGGCCACAAAACTAGAAAACTGATAGAACACAAAACTATCAGCCACAGCCTTTAACAGAGCACGGTCATGTGACATATAGGGAATGTAATAAATTAGATCGATTTTTGGTTCCGAATGTCGATTTTAATTACTTTTTGATTAATCACCCAGCCCTAACTAAAATATAATTAATATATCCATTTAATAAATGCACCAAAATACATTGCCTATATTCACAGTCATTTTTTTTTTCAAAATGGGGAGAACTCAATATTGTTGAGCACTGTATAGGTGAACTACTATATTTAATGAAAAACAAGGAACCACCTATGATTCAACGCACAATTAAATATGACATAAATGAATGATATAAAGACATAATGGCCAGCATTGTGAATTGGGGTCCACATTGATTAATCATACATTTTTAATGCAAGCTTTTTTGATAAATGTCCATTTTAAATGTTTTAAATGTTAAGAAGACTGCAAAGGTTAGAAAATATTTTCTCCACAACTCGCCCCCAAAAACCCAAAAAAACGCAATTTACTTTTGAAAACAAGGAATGGCTTTAGAAACAATAGTGTCATTCCAACAAAAACCTACAAAGGGGACGGCAACATGAAAAAAAGAAACGGTTAAAAGTGGTTAACAATAAATATTCAGTAACACTGAAGCTGTTAATACAATGTATTACAGTAAGATATGCAAGTAAGTGCGTTGACCCTTTAAATGTTGCCTCTGATTGTAAAAAACACTAATCAAACACTACAGTAGCCTTTTCTTAACAGACAATAAGAAAAAAAACAACAAATGAAAGCAATGATCTACCGATATAATCCACATGATAAACTTTGATAAGATTTACAGCTGCGCGCCAAAGAGCAGTGATGCAGTATGCCTAAGCTATATATGTATATATATATATATTTGCTGTATATAGTCATTTATGAATATGTTGTAGTACTACAACCATGAAACATGCTCCACGGTGATAATATAAACTCTTCTCTACACAACATCTACATTTGGAAAAGGGAAAAGATGGGGCAGGGGCTCAGTGCAGTATCTTTTATCTACCCTCAGGAGTTTTGGGTACCACGGATGTCTTGGTCTGGAGCCCGAGGGGGACAGTAAACATTTCCGGAGGCTTTCTGGAGCGCAGGGAGACCCCCGGCATGTCAGAACAGAAGTAAAAGTAAGGTGAGGGAAACGTCGTTCCACCACGATGAGCCGTACATCAAACGCCCCACTAATGTTCTCCTCATCCTTGTGTTCGCAAAACCTTGGTCAAACGACACAGAAAAGTGCAGGTGATCAGCTTTCTTCATGTTTACAAAACTAGAGCACTTTTAATTTTACATTGTTTTGATTACTGTTGTGAATAAATACATTTCTGGAAATTAAATAAAATTAATTTTACCAGCCTGGATAAGTGGAAGAAAATGACACGACATGCAAAAAGTATCAAGTAAACATTCACAAAAAGTATCTTCAGATTGAAATATTTGAATCTAACAAACAGGAAGCTTCTTCTTCCACATTATTCTGGGAAATATAATATTGGAAGTATAAACAGAATTCTCATTTTTGGACTGAATGCCATTTTTTAAATTATGAATATTTTTATAAAATTTCTTTATCATAGTTTTTTTTATTAAATTATATCAGAATTACTATTATTATTTCTTTCTTAACCGGACTACAAAACAAGATAATCTAAAGAATGTTGGGAAAAAGCAGTCATTTGAAAAATCCTCAACAAGAACAAAAAACAAAACAAATGCTGTGGAAAACATTTCAGAATTTTTACGCTAATGATTTTTTCTACTAACCTGACCGGGCCAGTGGTCCAGATTTTTTACCTGCCCAGCCAAAATTTTCAACAACAAAAAAAAAAGAATAGCTATTTCCATATTACACATATATTATATTTATATACAGTTGAAACCAGAAGTTCACATACACTGTATAAAAAGGCACATAACCATTAATAAAAAAAGTCATATGTTAATGTGACTAAACTTTTTCTCTTTTAGTTAAGTTAGGATTATGACATTTGTTTCTATTATGCTTAATTGCAGAATATTAAGATATATTTTTTTGAGAAATTGTTATAACTTTTTTTGAAAGTCAAGTTTACATACAATAAGATTATTATGCCTCTGAAAAAGCTCAGATGATGGTGTCAAGGTTTTGAAAGTTTCTGATTGGCTAATTGACAACATTTGAGTTAATTGGGGGCACAACTGTAGAATAGTATTTAAGGAAAACTCCAAACACACTGCTTCCTTGTGTGACAACATGGGAAAATCAACAAGCCAGAATCAACAAAAAAGCCAGATTATAATTGGCTAAATTACACTGGGAAAATAATAATGTTTGGAGACATGTCCTGTGGTCTGATGGAAAGAAGATTGAACTGTTTGGCCATAATTTGTTACATTTGGAGGACAAAGGGGAAAGCTTACAAGCCTAGGAACACCATCCCTACTGTGAAGTATGCGGGCGGCAGCATCATGTTGTGGGGCTGTTTTGCAGCAGGAGGGACTGGTCCACTTCACAGCATAGATGGCATCATGAAGAAAGAACATTATGTAGAAATACTGAAGCAACATCTCAAGACATCAGCCAGGAAATTAAAACTGGGCCACAAATGAGTCTTCCAAACAGACCATGACCCTAAGCATACTGCCAAATTAGTTCAAATGTGCTTTAAGGAGAACAGAGTGAATGTTTTGGAGAGGCCATCACAAAGCCCTGATCTCAACCCTATAGAAAATCTGAGAGTTAAAAAAGCTTATGCGAGCAAGACAGACAAATACTAAGACCTACAAAAAGACCTACAAATCTGACTCAGTTACACCAATTCTGTCAGGAGGAATGGGGCAAAATTCCTTCAAACTATTGTGAGAAGCTTGTGGAAGGATACCAAAAACATTTGATCAAAGTTATACAGTTTAAAAAAAGCTAAAAAAAATTAAAAATAAAATAAAATAACACCAAGGAAATGTATGTAAACTTTTTACAGTCAGGAAATTAATATTTTTTAAAAAATATTCTCTCATTATTCTGGCATTTAGCAAATGTAAATAATTTCGGTAATCCTAATGGACCTAAAATAGTAAATGTTTAGTAGGATTTACCACCAGACATAAAAAAGTGGTTATGTTCCTTTTTTTAGAGTGTATGTAAACTTCTGGTTTCAACTGTATATTCCACATATTTTAAATAATGTGTCAAAAGCCAAACATAACTTCAGCATAACTTTTATTTAAATAAAAGCGAAATGTGCACTTTAATTTGAACACCCACAGACTTTGTCACCAAACATAAATCAGAGGGGTAAGACTTTTTCATGGCCTCCTTTCAGTTGTCACGTTTTGTAAAAATCTATCTATTGAATTAATCAATCTATTAAACAAAACTAGCTAGAATTATACATTATGGGCTTAAATGGTAGAGAGAAATGACAGATGAAGTAAAACTGCAGTCAGATAATGAAGCAGATATATACCATAATACACTGTGATATAGCCTGGATTGTTAGTTTGTTGGATCAATTTGCTTTCTCACTACAATTGATTCGCTTCAGAGTTTGTTTCAA